AGGATTGCTACTCTACCCTCAGGTAAAACTATTCAGGCAGGCAGTGCTCCTGGGAGTTATTTTCTGCCTGACATTCTGCTAAAAACCTCAAGATTGCTCCAGAGATCCCGAGGACAGGTCGAGTCCTGCTCTCCCACTGGAAACTGAGCATAAAATTCAGGCACAGAGAAACGCTGCCTGCTCACCTCAGTAGGGATTTCTACCAAGCCAAACTGTTCATTGAATTCTGGTGAAGAGCCCGTGAGAAGGCCCACGATGGCAAGTCCTGAAAGGACGATGCTCCACAGTAAAGGCTTGTTCTCCTGTAGACTCTCCATAAAAGGATGACCCTGAAACACAGCAGGGAGAAACGGGGCAGAGGTGAGGCTGTACGCCTTCAGACTAAGGGATGAGGAGCAATTCGTGACAGTTTGGGACACTTGGCTCATTCCAACTTGATGCAAAAAGAGGGAGTTTTTCCCCGCAGAGCAGTGACAAAATACAGTTTGTGATTCGAGAGCATCATTGTTTTGAATTATTGCACCCTAATTACAAGATTGCTTCTCGGGTGCTGCTGGAGATGTGACTTAAATATGACTTGCCTTGTAGTTGATAGCAAACGTGGCCATTTGCATTGCCATCGACATGATGTAGACAGTGCTATTCACAAGGCTGGGCTCAAACTCCTTGTACAGGTCCACAAACTCCTCCTGTCTAAAAGGGAACAAAGCTGGAGATCAGTGGACCAGAATCAGAATCACCAGGAACATTTAGCTTCCCTTGCATAGCCCCACTGACCCCAGTTTATTTAAGTTTTGTTGGGTAAAACCAGTTTGTTCCCAAACAGGTGTGCCTGCATAGGTAAAAGCAGAGCTGCAGATGCTGCAAGCACAGGTACTCATCGGGTTCTTTTTCACAAAATAAAAATCGAGTGGAAAAAAAATTGTGTTTTTCTTCGTAACTTTCCAGTAATCCACCTCATTGGTGTTATTTCTACTTCCCTTTCCCCTCCCAGCGTGGGGACAGTAGACCACTGGGACTGCAACGTATCACAGACCACACTCCCACCAGTTCCATCGCATCCTTGCCACGCTGAGCTGCCTGCTGACGCACTCGATGTACAACGCAGAAATGCTTTTTCTGGACACATTAAAGTCCTCATGCTTGGTGTGCTCGATAAAGCATTCACAGAAAGAGCACTGTGGTGAGGGAGGCCTCTCTCCACGCTCATGATTAGCAGCAATTGGAGGAAACATTCCGGTGTTGGAGGAACAGACACTCACTTGGAATCGCTGCGTGCCTGGGCACCACGGTACAGGTAAACAAGGCTGAGGAAGTGCACGAGGAACTGCAGCAGCACTGTCAAAACCGTGTAGAGGTTAAAGATGTTTGGCAGCGGGCGCTCCTTGGAAAGCGTCTTCAAAGGCTGAGAGAAAAAAGCAAGCAGGGTTGACTTGAATGGTTTTGACCATCTCTAGGCAGTTTTCCAGCAGAATCTAACTAAAATTCATTGGTGTTTCTCAGGAAATGCCAGCAAGAATTCCACTTCACCCGTACATGAGACCCACAGCTTAGCTGCTGCAAGTAACAGCCTCAGCCGAGCCATTTATCTGCATGACCCTTCCCACCTCTTCCACCTGCTCTTCCTGTAACCTGAACAAAGCTGCCTGCAATCACACAATGCTCCCTTAAGCAAGCACTGGCCTCAGGAGCCTCCCAAATGCAGGGGAACAAAAAAGCGACTCCCTCCAGCATTGTGGACTGTTAACTTATTAAAATGAACAGCTTTTTTCGGACAGAGGCACTCCTTCCATGATCCTCATACAACTGACAGCCACTGTCCCAACGCACTTCCCTCCCCATACCTTCGACCTGGAGATGAAAAGGAAGCAGCCGGCCAGCAGCAGACCCTGCAGAGTTGCCTGAAAATCACTGAACTTCACCCCTTCCAAGTAGAGGACGCTCTGGCTGTAAGCAAGGATCAGGGCGTTCAGGGCAAGGATCTTGAACATTTGGAGTGTTGTCACTAGCGTGCAACGACCTTGCTTGATCACGTGGCAGACTAAGGAGCAAGAGGAAGCAGCGTTTGGAAACAAAACAGAACAGGCTCCGGGGCTTTGTCCCTCAGTCCTCTCCTCTTCTGAAGCAGCACAGAGGGAAGCTATCCGCTCCCTGCTTGCGTCCTGATCCAAGAAACCCCCACAGGGTAGCTGCGCACAAAAAGCTGGCAAAGCCATAGGTTTTGGGGGCATTTCTCACCACCCCACGCTCTCTGTTCTTGGCTGCTTTCGAATCTAGACTTATTCCCCTCAGGAAACCTGGGCACAAGGAGATGCACACCAACTGTTCAGGTCCCCCCATGCACTTACTGCACTGAATGGAGGAGAGCTTGGAAGTAAAGGGGGCTGCAATGCTGGCATCACCCAGCTTCACGACTGGTACACGCTCCTCTTCCAAATCCTTCAGGACCTGACTGATCCGCTCCTGCAAGCAAGAGAAAGATACAAATGCACGCCTCATTATCACAACCTGATCGAAGATGATCTTGCATTACCGTCTCCCGCACCCCTGCTCCAAGGTGAGGCTGAGAAGCCTGCATGCTTGCAGCGTTAGCTTGATGGCTGGTTGGAAAAGCAGCACATCCTCTGCCCGAACCCATTCTGCTATTTCAGGGTAAGAAGCAGAAAAGCTGGTCTGTTCCCAGTATGTCCTGCTATTTCCAGTTCTCACGGATTAGCAGGAAACCAGAGGAGGCACAAAGAGCGAGGATAATTTAACAGGCTTTTAAACATCTAGTTACCAACCCTCTGGATGGCCAGCTGTTCCTCTCTTTGGGACATGACTCTGTGCTTGGCACCACGGGAAGTGGGCTTCACAGTCCCAGCCCCCATCGACGGCAAAGCAGGCCTCCCATCACTGGGTCCATCTCGAGTTCTCTTCTTCCGTTCGGGCAGTCTCTCAGGAGCATTTGCCAGCAGCGCCACTCCTGTAAGAGTGTAAAAACATGAGCTGCAGGGAAAAAGGGCCGTAATCCCTTTGCCAGCAGAGCATTTTCGCACAGCA